CCTTTTATTTCGTTTGATGAAGCGAGTGGATATCCGTGAAATGACGGAGTAGAGCTCAGTGGGGATTCATCTAGGTCGCAGGGCGGTACGCTGAGGATTTGTCTGCACAAATCTATAGTCACACCTCCAAGGCAATCCCCATACAACCCCGGATGAGGCCAATTTACAAATCCCTTCCACTCCCTCAAACGAAATGAAAGTTATTCCAACATCAATTACCATTTATTTCGTTTTGCACTAACGTATTTCCTCGAGCTATCATCGCACCCTTACTACGATTTGATCACTACATGATAGTGCATATAGCACTGCGTATTTAGCTTTTATCCAGTGAAAAAATGGCGACAGCATAGCTAAGATGAGCTAAAGTCGATAGCAGAGAAATGTTATATTATATTTTGTATTCTTTATGACTTAATAATTAAAATTTCGAGTATTTAGGCTTGCATGCACGTATTATTGGTCAGAGTTTGACTGTCCAGCTTATTAGTTGCATAAGTCCCACAAGAGCAGAGGAAGATGAGTTAAAGCAATACTATGAACTAGTTTGTCGACAACCATATAGTTTGTACAGTCAGCAACTTGGGAATCATGAATGGGACAAAATATGCGAAATTAATTTGAACGTTTCGTTTTGATAACCACAGTCGAATTCGAAGTCAGGCAGCAAAGGTCTAATGGGATGTTCGGAGTGAAGTTATTAAAAAACTGAACAAGACAGGAAAGACTTGGAAGACATCGTAGGTTGTAATTTATCCAGTCAAGAATGAGCATCTCGATTTTAAACTTGCAACTTGCCTATGTATCAATCACTATTTATCCCACTACCTAGAATGCCGATCTGGTGTGGGCTGCTGCTAAATTATATTTGGTGATGCATAAATAAATGTGCTGAACAGAGCTCTCTTCCTTCTGTGCTTTTTCTGAAAATATCTCACGCAACATGAGTTCCTCGAATCGCTTTGATTTGTAGCATATATACGCAATATTATGATGACAAAGATCTGAGGATAGACCTGATATCATTATTGCTTTGGCCAGAAATGTGTCACGATCTTAAGAAATAGTCCATCGGACTTTCAGGCGTAATGAAAGTTACGTTAGTCTCACAAGAGACGATGTACTGAATAAGAATACTTTATGA